TCTGTCATCAAGGAGCTCAGATGGAGAGATGACCGATAAGGACGAGGAAGAAATTGAGCTCCCAGGCGAATCAGCTCTAAGAGAACAAGAAGAAATAAAACCAGCTGCAGAAAGCCAAAGTATCCGAGCTCCAACCCCAGCAGAAGTGGTTGCAGCTGACATCGTAAATGAGATACTTGGGAACACGGGTTCAAGCAGCGAAGAGCTCTGTAAGAGGTGTAGCTTGCCCAAACCTGCCTTTCATGCAGGATTAATAATCAACGAGCTGAGAGACTTCTTCTCCAGATGTTTGCCATCCACCTCTCACTCCGGGCTCAAAGCACGCAAACACCGCTTTTCCATGTTTGCGAAAAAGCAATTTGAAAAAATGAAAAAAGAGCTGAGAAAAGTAATAAAGGCAAACAGGAAATTTGTTGTTTGTCTAAAAAACATTTGCAGGTTCCACAAGTAAGAAACAGTGCCCTCAGATGAAAGTGTGGCTTTCAGCCTCCCAGGGTCCCACAGTACAGAGGCTCATCGAGCCCCTTCACGAAACACACTGCTTCGTTACATACGTTCTTCTCCAGTCGACTTTGACAACATTAGATCAGACGTTAATGAGTTATTTGAGAAATTAACAAAGAAAGAAAAACTCTTCCTCATAGTGAGGCAACCAGAGATTTTACTGTGAAGTTAACGGCAAAAGTGTTTGATCTACTTATGACAGATCGACTATATCAAATCCCCAAACCTCTAATGGGTAGATCCCTCTCAGACACCGTCATCTCCAGGACTCCACAGCCAGCACATGGCTCTAAGCGTCCCTTTTCTGCTGAAGTCCTCTATGTCCTCATAGAAGACGCAGTAGAAAAGTTTTTACAAAAACCTTTACTCTGGGTGGAGAACGAAGACGTAGATCAAATGATTGAGGACAATTTCTCTGTCACTGTGGAAGACATCCAGAACATTATTAAAAAGAACAAGGACCCCAACAAAGGAAAGCACAGATTCAGATGGCAGTGGAAGAGAATCTGTTTCATTACCTGTAACACCAAAATCTGGGAGCATGACCCCAGAAAAATGCTCTGCCAACGTTTCAGGCGTTCTCAAGGATTCCTCTGACCTGTCAGAGATGCGTTCTGTATCAGTGTTGTCTTCTAATGCTGAGAAAATTTGAAATGACCTCACCATTATCCTCATGATGAGACTCATCAAAAAATCAAAACGTGAAACTCAAAACTCTTTTGCCAGGACCGCATCTACTACAAAAGAACTACACGTGGTCATCAACCGTGTGAATGACCTGATGCGGCCTGAACTCATCAGCACAGAGTCCGCCACAAGTCTGACAAATAACAGGAAAAAGTTAATCAAGAAAATAGCCAAATGCCTCATCAAGGAGTTTGGCTCCCCAGACAATGTGTTAAAGGCTGTGATGGCAAATGATGCGTCTTTTGACGAGGCTCTGATAGAACATCTAAAAATCCGCCTCGGAGTCATCCCCAGTCCTCCCAAAAAGTCCAAAATTTCCAGGTTTTTTTCAGCGGCGGGAAAAGCTCTGCGAAAACCCTTTAGGTGGTTCACTAAAGCCAGAGATGATTAAAATGACATCCTGGCTTCCCCCGCTGCCCTGCTTCTTTTAACATCTTGAAGCAGAATTTTAGCATCTAATCCAAATTTTAACAACTGTAGTTCACGCCATCTCGTCTCCTTTTTGATTTCCATCCCCCCCAACCGGTCGCAGCGGATGGCCGCCCCTTCTGAGCCCGGTTCCGTTGGAAGTTTCTTCCTGTTAAAGGGAGTTTTTCTTCCCCACAGTTGCCTCATGCTTGCTCAGAGGGGGATCATTTGATTGTTGGGGTTCTCTGTAGTACTGTAGGGTTTTGACCTTACAGTACAAACAGGGAGGAGACTTTGTGATTTGGCGCTTAATTTTTAAAACATCTGATTTGGCATGAAATAAAAAAATCTAAATTAAAAATACATTCCAACTTTGTTTGTGTTTTTCTTCTGTTGTCAAATATGTAGAAAGTGTTGCACGTGTGATTTTAGTCATTTTGCATCAACATGTAGCCAACATGTGTCTGTTTGTGATCATGCTGCATCTGTTTTTGTCTGATTTGTGTCTTACTTTTAGTCAATTTACATCTATTTTGTGGCCCAAATGTGTGGATCCTGTTGACATTGCTATGTTTCGTCTTAATGCTTCACTTGTTTGATGTTTGTGCTCATTTTGATTCTAGATGTAGACCTGCCATCTGAAAATTAGCACATCGCCCACTTGGACCATTTTTTCGTTAGTCCAGGGGTTTAACACATTTTCTATTTCAAAAAGGGCAAATACCTCGGTTACTTTACTACTGACCAAATAAATGATGATGATGACATACAGGGAGTGCAGAATTATTAGGCAAATGAGTATTTTGTCCACATCATCCTCTTCATGCATGTTGTCTTACTCCAAGCTGTATAGGCTCGAAAGCCTACTACCAATTAAGCATATTAGGTGATGTGCATCTCTGTAATGAGAAGGGGTGTGGTCTAATGACATCAACACCCTATATCAGGTGTGCATAATTATTAGGCAACGTCCTTTCCTTTGGCAAAATGGGTCAAAAGAAGGACTTGACAGGCTCAGAAAAGTCAAAAATAGTGAGATATCTTGCAGAGGGATGCAGCAGTCTCAAAATTGCAAAGCTTCTGAAGCGTGATCATCGAACAATCAAGCGTTTCATTCAAAATAGTCAACAGGGTCGCAAGAAGCGTGTGGAAAAACCAAGGCGCAAAATAACTGCCCATGAACTGAGAAAAGTCAAGCGTGCAGCTGCCAAGATGCCACTTGCCACCAGTTTGGCCATATTTCAGAGCTGCAACATCACTGGAGTGCCCAAAAGCACAAGGTGTGCAATACTCAGAGACATGGCCAAGGTAAGAAAGGCTGAAAGACGACCACCACTGAACAAGACACACAAGCTGAAACGTCAAGACTGGGCCAAGAAATATCTCAAGACTGGTTTTTCTAAGGTTTTATGGACTGATGAAATGAGAGTGAGTCTTGATGGGCCAGATGGATGGGCCCGTGGCTGGATTGGTAAAGGGCAGAGAGCTCCAGTCCGACTCAGACGCCAGCAAGGTGGAGGTGGAGTACTGGTTTGGGCTGGTATCATCAAAGATGAGCTTGTGGGGCCTTTTCGGGTTGAGGATGGAGTCAAGCTCAACTCCCAGTCCTACTGCCAGTTTCTGGAAGACACCTTCTTCAAGCAGTGGTACAGGAAGAAGTCTGCATCCTTCAAGAAAAACATGATTTTCATGCAGGACAATGCTCCATCACACGCGTCCAAGTACTCCACAGCGTGGCTGGCAAGAAAGGGTATAAAAGAAGAAAAACTAATGACATGGCCTCCTTGTTCACCTGATCTGAACCCCATTGAGAACCTGTGGTCCATCATCAAATGTGAGATTTACAAGGAGGGAAAACAGTACACCTCTCTGAACAGTGTCTGGGAGGCTGTGGTTGCTGCTGCACGCAATGTTGATGGTGAACAGATCAAAACACTGACAGAATCCATGGATGGCAGGCTTTTGAGTGTCCTTGCAAAGAAAGGTGGCTATATTGGTCGCTGATTTGTTTTTGTTTTGTTTTTGAATGTCAGAAATGTATATTTGTGAATGTGGAGATGTTATATTGGTTTCACTGGTAAAAATAAATAATTGAAATGGGTATATATTTGTTTTTTGTTAAGTTGCCTAATAATTATGCACAGTAATAGTCACCTGCACACACAGATATCCCCCTAAAATAGCTAAAACTAAAAACAAACTAAAAACTACTTCCAAAAACATTCAGCTTTGATATTAATGAGTTTTTTGGGTTCATTGAGAACATGGTTGTTGTTCAATAATAAAATTATTCCTCAAAAATACAACTTGCCTAATAATTCTGCACTCCCTGTATACAGACAACGATGTGAGCTCTATGTGCAGGCAAATACAGTTTAACACTAATTCTGCTTTTGTTCACTTCCAGTTTAAGTGATTTTGTTTATGTTTGTTTGTTGCATACTATTATATACTGGCCCCTTGTGGTCAGGATAGCTAGAGGGGGTAGTGCCAGTCAGATGTTTGTAGCTGTGGGTGTTTGGACTTTTAAAGCACTTTTAAGAAAGTTAATGTTCACTTTTAGAGAACGACTGGATGACAGTGAGTTGTTCCAGTTACTCATGCAGTCTGAGGAAGGTGAAGTGTTTGTGTATTTATTGATTTCTTTTAAGTCACTGTGTATTTTATGTACATTATAAGTTTATAAGTCCTGTCAGCCCTGTGCTGTGACAAGAAGTCACACACTCAGCTGCTCTTAATCTGGGTTTATCTGAGTTTGCTGAAATGTGCTGGTTTTTGAGTCATACATCAGGAGTGACCTGCCGCTCAGAGCTGAGAAACATTTCCAGACATGCTACAAATAAGTTGGGATATGTTTTAAGTAATGTGATCCATGTTGCACAAGTGCTTCACAAGGCCAACAGAGTGAAACACACGGGTATTTTAAACCTCAGGGCAAAAGCAGACAATGACATTTGATGTATAAAAACCAACACAATGCAGGAGAAGAAAGAACTCACTATAGTGAAAGACAGTCCACAGAAAACAGCTGTATGGAAGCAGGTTACTAAGATTTTGGGTGATTTGCTACCTGTGTGTTTCAGGTAGTCAACGTAAATGGAAGTTCCACCAACTCTTATTTTTCTCTGTATCATGAACTGTGTGAATACTTTCTGTAGACTGGATCCAGGAACAACCTCACCCTTAACAAGAAAAACAACTTCTGATGACACAGCAGTTTCACATACCTGAGTAACAGCCTGAGGTGCACTTATCTCATTGTTTTGGATAACTAGGCAAAAAAACTCAAGTGGCATTGTTTTAAGACATTTTGTTAAAAATACTTGTTATATGTTAAAACATCTTGTATTTAAAAAATCAGCCATGCAAGACTTTAGTAGTTTTATTCAGGGTTTAAGAACCTGATTCTTGACTCTTTATTCTGACTCCCACCAGTTTTATGCGAGTCATTCTAAAAAATAGTTTACTGCTATACATAAAATAAAGAAAAGGGTTAAAAATCAATAGAAATGTTGATCACATTTATTTTATAATAAGATGAAATGTTGCATTTATCAGACTAACACAGAGGACTTCAGAGCTGCTCTTTAAATTATTACCAAATGGACAAATGCATGTTTATCTGTCTGTCTGGTGCATGTTGGACTCGTTCTTATCTGTACACAAGTACAGATACTTAAGCAGAAGTCAAACCACGGATTGGGCTCCACACTGAGTCCCTGTGTGCAGTCTGAAACTCAAATGATTGTTCAGATGTTTTACATATGAGATATTAAAAACTTAGGCTGGATCCAGGCAAAGTTTCCCTGAACAGAGGTTGTGTTTGTGCTCTTTGCTGCCTCCCTGCACACACTGTTGCTGTCCTGATGTGTTTGTGCTGACTTTGTTTGTGTGCGTGAGGTTAAATGGCCCAAAGCTGCTGCAGACCTCGTTCTCAAGACTCATGTTTTCCTATTTCACTGCATTTCTGTTGAGTATCTTCATCACTGTATAGCTGCACGTCTGGCTGTGTGAGACACACTTAGAGTAGAGACTATCTGTGTGTTACACAAAGCATTTCTCGAATCTTAATTTGATATTCGTTGTGTGTGTGTGTCCTCTTCCTCACTTGTGCTCAAACAAAGGCGCACTCACACACAGTAGAACAGCAGCCTGAAAAGCCGGTTTTAACCACTGGTTTGGCATTATACCAGTACCTAATTAAGATCCAGTTCATGCATTTGAAGAAAGACACAAATGCTGGTGCTCAAAAAGCACAGTAACAACAACCTGTTGGTGTAAAGTGGGAACAAGTGAGTTCAGTGGCTGTAGGAGGGTCTAACACAAGAAATTCTGGCATGCAGTCCACAGACGTGAGCCAATTTCCTGCAAATTGCCCAAACCTTTGCTACATCATGCAGTTGTTGGCTGGTTTTCAAAATGCGCTAATGAACCAACACATCACGTTCACCAGCGATACAGTGTCAGCTGTTAACTGCCAGCCCCAACATATGCTGCTACATACTTGTACTATTCTGACATTTTTATCAAAGTACAAAATACCAATCCATTCATAATTCATTTATTAAACTTTTTGAACACAAAACATACAAAGTAATTCAGGATCGCAGCCAAACTGTCATTAAAAACGGAATTAAAAGTATTGAGCGGTTTCATATTGCAGCCTGTTGTTAAGAAAGGGACATTAACCTGTTACAAGATATGTGGATGTATTATTGACTGTGAGGGATAGACTTCATTGTCATGAGTAACACAGTAATATCAAAGATATGTGAGGCAGATTTTGTTTTTGGTGGGACATCTCATCTGAGCTCTCTCACTTTTTGATGTAGTTGAGCTTCATCAGCACCGGTGAACTCATACACCTGAAAGAGGAGGACATTGAGTTAAAAAATGACATAATTTTCCATTTATCCTCAATGAATTGTAAAATAGGACACAATCGGCTTATCACTAACAACCCAAACCTTGACTTAAATGTGATTTAACTCAGTTTCTTTAATCCTGAGACCATATATCCTTTATATATTTATAAATGCACCATGGGGAGCCTAGGGCGAAACAGCATTTCAGTACACTGTGTACTGTGTATACTACTGTATTGACAATAAAGCTCTGCCTTTAGAGGTTTTCTGTGCAAGATTAAGAGGGAATCCTTAGGGCAACATTGATCTTATATGTGCCAGTTGAAAATAATACTGAGATTATAATAGTCATTGCACAAGGCTCATTGTTTCCAGGCTCAAATTTACTACATGCTAAACATCTCCATCCAGCTACATAGGGCACTTTACCTTACCTTCTGGTTATTCTTGTAAAAGTGAAATGCAGGCATGCGGGTGACATTATAGAATGACTTCACATCCTGAAAGACAACGCAACAATATCAGATGAGCTGACCGGGTCATCAACACTGATCGCCACTGACTACGGCCGCTTCAGACCACCTTGGGCAGCTGTAGATGTGGCGAGAGGCCAAAACATGTGCAAATAAATACATTAAAAATATTGTGAAAAACACAGGCTTCTGCAGCTTTTATGCATATTAATTATAAGTTACCCAAGAGCCTGTCTACATCAGACAAAGCCTCTCCTTCAGACTTCAGTGTAGCCAATTGTGCAGAGTGAAAGCTTGTTGCATTACAGTCTGTGTTGTTTAATCCGCACCAAAGCAGTTGCTGACAGATGGTCACATGAGTCAGCTAGGAGTTCTTCCAAGAGAAAAATAAATGTTTAACTAAGCTAGAAACCTATGCTGGCTAATGACTTTTATTTTCATGCAATGATATGAAAACAGAAATAAAATAAATCCACACAAGGGAAGCTAAAGTGGGTTCAGCAGCAGATGAAGTAATCCTACTGCTTCTCCAGGCTTCCGAGTCAAACACGGGCTTACCCTGCCATCAGTCGCGTCCACCCTCAGGAAAATCACGTTTGTGTTGACAGGCTCCTGTGACATCTCCTGCAGGAGAGAAGATCACTGAGTCGACACGAGAGCACGCACACTACATCTGCTGCGACATCACAAGAGTTTTCATCCTTGTGAATAGGTTCTCTTATTTAATTGTCACATTGCTGCAGTTGCATGGGGATCACAATGAAGCTCTGCATAATGTCAAATGGGGGGCTAGAGCATCAGTACTATAGGTTACTCTGACTAAAGTTATTGTAATGTGTGAGGGACAGAATGAAACTTGAGATTCTCGTGAATTTTGGACATGCAAAAGCTCATGAGGCAATAAGCTAAAACAATAAATAAATAAGGTGATTTTAGATTTAACATCACATACAACAAAAATTGGGGCCATCATTTGGCAGGGGCCACACCACTCGGCTGTGAAGTCCACCACCACCAGCTTGTCTCCAGCTTCATTCAGAATTTTCTGGAACTCATCCTACAGAGAGAAATAGAAAAGACATGATTTATTGGATGGGTAAGTGGTAGAGACTGAAACATGCTCAAATGAACTGCAACAGAGCTAACAGCAGCAGCCTCTTCTGACTCTGAGGGCTTGTTCATACTTGTTGCTGGTGCTACTGTTGACGGTGCAGCTGCAGTCACGACAGTTCACATGTTGGTTCATTTGACACGTTTTGCTGCATCTATTTCTAATTTCTTTCTCTCTCTCAGCTTTTCAGCTCCATCCTATAAGTTTTGTTTGTCCACTTGTATCAGCCACTTCTTCCACGCTAAATTCTGTTCTGCAAGCTGCGTGAGCGCGCAGGGAAGGCAGGGAAAGTCCCGATTGCATTAGGAGTTTTGATTGTGCAATCCAGTGTTAGTGATGAAAATTAATGAATGGGCAGTTGCCGGTGCTTTGTAGGGCGGGATGCCAGGTTACTAATCCAGCCCTGCTAACCGAGGGATTCCCTGCTCAGGATGGCCTTTGATGGCTGCATGTAAGAGTCACTGATCTGGTGATGCTGTGATCCGCTGACCTTTGTAACGTTTATTTCCGTACAAATGCAATACAATCAGTTACAACGAGGTTCGGGAAGACTGCCTGCCTTTCCTGGAAATTTACCTAAACAACGCGTACACTTATGGCCGCGTGTGGAGCACAGGTGTTGTGTGAAGAACTGATTGTCTCCCAAAAGGTGATTTCTAATGTTTCGATGGGGCGAGGGTTTATGTGTAACGTATTGACTTATATTGATGAATAGACTTGTGAACAGGTTATTAAAGTGCTGTAAAATCAGTTTTTCGTGTATATTTCCTTTTGGCCAATTAAAAACTTCTTTATATAACTATTGTTATATTTGCTGCGATTTCTGTTGCCCTCTTGTCCAGATCTTTCTTTAAAAAGACATTTTTAATATCAGTGAGAACTTTTAACTGGATAAATAAAGGATGCCACTTCACCAGAGACGGATTGCGGCTTCTAACGCGTGACTGGAAGGTTGTTTGTAGCTCAAGATGAATTTATATCATTCATGGATATCTTTGACATATATTTCATATTTTGCAGGCAATCAAGTCATTTACAGCAGTTTAAATACGGATAATCCCTTTTTGGTAGACGATCACGTTTTGGTCTGCGCGCGGCTGCTCCGACACAAAACAGTGGAGCGTAAAAACATCCATTCACTTATTAGGAATGCGCCTCTCACCATATAAGGGAGAGAGGCACAGAAAACAACAAAAAAGACAAACTTACCAGATCTTTCACTTCGTGAACCATGATAGCAGCTGATGAACGTGCCTCGGACAGAACAAAGTGCCAGCAGACGCCCCACGCGTTTAAACACTAAAGTTACCCGTCAGTAGTCCCGGTTAAAGCGGAAGTCTCTGTATTTATTTTACACAATAAGAGTTTTTAATGAGCTAAAGCGCAAATGTATTGGTACTTAGAGTATATAGAGCGTTCTACTTAGCTGAGCACTCCAAGCGCTTTCTACAGGCTTCGTTCAGCCGGTCACACATATTTTCATACAGCTATTAGGGAGTTTCATAGAAGCAGAGTGTAGGAACATAGACTCTCCTGGAGATTAAATGGATGAAAGAGATTGTGTAACCATGGAGCTAAACTTCACCGAAGCCTTGACAAAAGGCTAAAATTGGTAGCAGATGTTAAGTGTTAGTGCTATTATATCTGATGCGCAACTTGAATCCCGTCGACCAGGCAGGCCCTTAAAAGCAGCACATATAATTATTCCATTCACCTCAGATTTACAGCTAACCGCAGTGTCAAAGATGAAGCCCACCACACACCATGTTGATTCAATCGAAATTAAAATGTTTTATTTTTCGCTCCCTGTGCATACAAAGAACTTTGATCATGTCACTGTGAACAGGGCATTAATACAGCAGAACAGATCTGCACTGCGCACACAGATACTCGCTGGAATGACAGGATAAGAACCCTGAGTCTGGAATGATCATCTCTTCTTTTATTCATTGGTGGTCGTGTTGTTAAGTAAGTCACCAAAACGTACAACTTAAGCAAACTGATGCTGATGTTGCCAGATGTCAAGTTGTCAACATGACAAAAGACACAACTATCAATCACAGGCAAAACTCTGTGATTACAAAACTACTCAAAGAGCTGAAATGTTAATGTGAAATTATTTTGTTCTATGTTTATTGCTTCATTAATTGATAGATTGTGTAATAATGGCAGTTATTAGTAATGCTGGCTCTCTTGTATTGAACTCCTCAGACTGCGACGACGGCCTTGCCGGTGTTTTCTCCCTGCAGCATCCCCATAAAAGCAGCCGGCATGTTATCAAAGCCTTTTGTGACGTGCTCCTGACACTGCAGTTTGCCCTGTGGACGCACATACACAGATCACAAATACAATACATCACAACAGAAACACAGGTAACTGATGTTTACATCTTTACTTAAAGGAAAGGCTCACACTAACCTCTTTCACCCATGCTAACAGTCTCTTGAGGGTCTCAGGGTGCTTGTGCTCCCACCTACTTTGCAAGAATCCCTCCATCTTCAGCTCCTTAAAGATCATGGTGAAGTAGGGATACGGACCTAAAGCACAGGTCGTTCAAGAGAAAAATTTAACCCATCTTTCACTCACAGAAACTACAGTTCATGTCTACAATAACCATCTGTGTGCCTCCACAGCACTTGTGGATCTTTAGCAGTGCAGCTTCTCCCTCTAGTGGAAACAACACATGAATACAGAAGAAGTTGTTGGTGGTGTATTATATGCATTTTGTGTTCTTCACAGTGATATTTGTGGGCCTTTGGGGTCCAGGCCCCTCCAGAAAGGTCACTGTTCCCCTTCAGTCTAATACCATCTACATACCTTTACACCTGTAATTCAAATGAATTCATACAGTTTGGTAATGAAAGCTTTGAACACCCCAGTTGTCCAGTAAGAATCAAGCTAAATGTTGACTGGGAACTGTAAGTGTGCCAGAGACAGTTTAAAAAGGGGTTTATTTTATATGTTTCTGTCATAGATTTGTGTGTATTTAATTTATTTGCTGAAATTGATTAAAAATTATTTTAATGAGATTTTTTTTAAATTGTCTAAAATACGTGATTATAAAATATTGTATATATAATATTTTATAATTATATACAATAAATATAATTATAATTTTTTAAAGGCTGTGTAAATGAGCTATCTTTCTGTAAAGTTTGTTTGAGGTACAGTGTAACGGTCACATGACCAGAATTTAGCTGAAGGCAGAACCGTTGCATTGTGGGTCAGAACTAGCATGCACACAGAGGAAGGACATCCAAAAATGTAATCTGATTCTTGGACATTACCATGAGCGACTTTAAAAATGTCTGAGAGGGGGGCAGAGAGAAAACTTCCAAGGACATCAGTGATGTGTGGACATTGCTGTTGGACATCTGTCGTTCCAAGTACACTGACCCCACCTGAGCAGCTGATGGAGAGCCCTGACTCACAAAGTGTGAGTAAAACTTCATCTATAAAACACCTTTAAGAAAATTATAACAATATGCTTCATCATAAAAATGCCATTTAAACCAGAGTCTGGGAGAAACTGTTGCAAAAGCTTCGGCTTTTTTAGTTTAACCCTAAACGATGCACAGACAGCACGCCCTTATCCATTATTTATTCATTCAAGAGTTAAATTTAACATGAGCATCCAAAGTAAAGGCTGAGTAGGCTGTAACAAAGTTCCTGAAGGGGACCAAGAGCTTCCATTACCTCAGGCATAAATCTATCAAGGACACAAACAAGGACTTCTGTTTTCTCTTCATTAGGTTGGAGGAAATTGTCTACCATCCAAGAACTTTTGCTATATCTGTAACTCAGAAATATCTTGGAGCTTAGAGAAGATATACAGCTGACTGTCATCTGCATTGCATAACACCCTAAAAGTGTTGAAAACGTGTTAAAGAGGGAGCAGAGATGATATAAACAATAAAGGCCGTATGTCACACCATAGACCCGAGAGGTGGAAGAGGACATGAACTTCAAAGAAGCCACAAAAATACACCTTTTAGAAAGACGTGACAAGAACCACTCTGAAGCAGATCCAGATACAGCCAGCCTGTCAAGCATGACGACGATGGTATGGTACAGTATGAAAGACAGAGGTGTCAGGTGCAGCATCAAAAAACGGAATAATAATAACCTCCAACACTATGCATCAAAACTTCATTGCAGATTTTAAAAATAGCTGTTTTAGTGGAAAAAGCTCTACGGAAGAAGAGCTGTAAGCTGTAATCTTAGGATTCATCTGTAAATCCTTAGAAGACTGTGTTTATACCAGACTGGTGCCTCATGGGGTTTAAAGTAAGTTTCTTAACCTTGAATAAGTTGTATCCTGTGAATCCGTCTGTAAGTTTATTAATTAAATCTGATTGGTATTTGCAATAATGCTTTAAATGTAAATTCAGCAGTTCACACATATGTGGCAGTATGGATGCATAAGTCTCTGTCATAGTGTTTGTTTGTTTTTTTATTTATTTTTCTGTCTGTGCACCAACCCTGGTTGTTCCCTAGCAGGCACAAAACTTTCAGCAGTTAGAGCAGTAACAAACCTGTCTGGGGTTGGCTGTCATTGTAGGTGGAGATGCTTCCACACACAGCTATTCTTCCAAATTTCTTCATTTGCTGCAGGACGACATCTGATGAAGGGCCTCCCACCTAAAACAAAGCAGCAGAGTCACTTACTTGCATTGTAACGTGCTGTGAGGAATGCAGTGTGAATGCAAGAGAAGAGTTGAGCAATGATTAAATATTAAATGCAAGCTTGAAACTGCACCACCACTGCTCACGTTTTCAAAGAAGCAATCGTATCCTTCAGGTGAAGCCTTCCTCAGAGCCTCCTCCAGGGAACCCACAGTTTTGTAGTTGAAGCATCCTGCCTGAGTGGCCTAAAGATGTGTCCCTGTCTCTGGCTCTGGGTGCCATCGGGATGCCCGGGTAAGACAGATTTAAGTAACCTGCATGGATCAAAGTCACTTTCTATTGGATGTTAAATCGTGGCAGGATGTTCTGACTTTTCCGGCAGATAGATCGATGTGAAGTTTTATCAGCTGAATCTTAAATGTAAACTAAACCATCTGAGACATTCATATCAGTGATGTAAGATTTTATTTATAGGTGTTTGTAAGGTGTTTAAGAGGTCAGCTAAACGTGCTAATAGACAACAGTAATGAGCAGAAAATAGTCACTTATATTCTTACAATAAAACTAACTTCAGCTGTTTTGCTAATGAGCTGAAGCAGAGTTTCTAAGCAGTGATTTTTGTGGATATAATTAATATGGCAATCAAAGAGGCAACAGCTGGATTTACTGTTTCTGTCTCTCTGCAGACTGACGGCTGTTTATGGGATAGAAGACGTGTTGGGACTCCAGAAGGGTGAGACCCTGCTGGTGAACGCTGCAGCTGGAGCGGTGGGCTCCGTGGTGGGACAGATCGCCAAGATCAAGGGCTGTAAGGTGGTGGGCTCGGCAGGCTCTGATGCCAAAGTGGCTTACCTCAAAGAGCTGGGATTTGATGAGGC